TCTGCTACGATACGACGTTGGTGCGACGATTGGTGCGCGCTGCTGATGGATGGCGTCGGTGCCACTATGGCGGCGCTCTACTGCTGTGTGGCTTCGGCGCGACGATGGTGGCATGCTGCTGCTGTACGACGGCGGCGCTACTATGTCGGCGCTCTGCTGCGTTGCGAGCGGGCGTCGCCGTTACGCGTGTTCACGGTGGACTGTGGTGTGGCAGCGCTCTACCTTTGAACAGCCAAGCCTTGTATATTCGCCCATGTACAAGTCGAGAGCTATTCTCTAGTAGCTGTGCGTTCACGACCACAGCTCCGTGCTGACGGACTTGTGTGTTGCCAAGTCACATTTCTATAGCTGGTGCTCTTCGTGTTGCTGAGTCGTATGGCTACATGTTGCTTTGCTATGGTGACGGTGTCACCGGGGAGTGTTGATACGGTCTCTTATGTTGGCTGGCCGTGTTGATGACGCTACTGTAGTTGTTGTTGTTGCTGTTGTAGTCGTTGTTGCTGGTGTAGGGGGCGGCGTTCGTGTGGGCTAAATTCCGTGGATATTTAGTCCTCACACTTCCCTCCTTCTTCGGTGGGCTTAAGTTTTGCGGTGCCTCGGTATTATACGAGCGCCCCACCGGTATACATTGACTCGGTATTCTGCCGCCCGGAACCTCACCCGGGACGCGCAGGTTCCCTCTGCGATGTCGCGAATAGTCCTCCGGACCCTCTCGGCGACCTCCGGGAACTGGTCCAGCGCTGGTCCGTCGGCTTCTTTGGCGGGAATGACCGTTTGTTCCCTTGGTGGTGTCGACGAGCCTTGTCGTGGCGACACTGTTTCGGATGGTGCTGGTGCTCGGGGCGGTGACGGTGGCAGTGGTACTACCTCTGGGAATACTGGTGTGTGTGGCGGTGGAGGTGGTGTTGCTGTTGCCTCTGGAAGCTCCGTGGGTTGTGGTGGTGGCGGTGGAGGTAGTGGTGTTGTTGCCTCCGGTGGTTGTTGGAATACCCTCAGCATTTGCGCGCGTTTTTGCGCCGCCATGGCCGCCGGGAACGGGCCGGATATGCACCCCGGCCCTCCTTCCTCGCGTCCTACGTTTCTCAGCACCCTCTCGATAGTTTCCACCACGTAGATCCTGCAGTCGCTATAGTTGGTCTGTTGTGGTGATGTCGCTGCTGGTATTCCCACCGGGGAAACTCTTGCCATTCCTTTACCGCGTGTGTCACCCTTCCCACTTTCCTGGAGTCGGCCACCCAAATGTAGTGGTCGTGCCAACACTCGCTATCGGTTATGTGGTGGGCCATCTCCTGGTTGGCGAGGGTGAGCAGGGACCAATGGTTCGAGACATTGTGTGGCGTGAGGACAACCCGTTGGCCGAAAAGGTCGGTGTGGCGTAGCCACCGGTGGATGCGCTGATAATTCTCTCCCTGGTCGGTTTGCTTAATTGCCGGACAACAAATGGACTGAGTACGGTACCTCGTATGTTGAGCGCGGCTTCCAGGCCCTTCGCCCAGGTATCGATGACTGTGTCTGTCAGCCAATAGGGTCCTGTCAGTGTCCGCAGGTCGGCCTCATACAGCGCTACTCCGCCGGGTCCTGGCGGGAAAATTACTCGCGGGCCCGCCGACGGCTGTTGTGGATAGCTCGATTTCGAGCTGTTCGGCCAACCCCATGTCGGTGTCCTGGTTAGCCGGTCTGCCGCTAGCTGGACTCTCGCCTGTTAGGCTATCGGTGGTCGTGCTGGTGTCCGATGGAGTGGTGTGCGATGCGCTGTCGCTTGTTATACTTTCGTTGGGCGGGCTAATAGTGGATGTGGTTTTGTCCGTGTCCATTCCGCTCCCGTGCCTTTTGTCGTGATTTGAAGTTACCCTCCTCATCGAGAAGGCGGTAGCCCCGGCGGTGTTGTACCTGTCGTCTTCCGAAGGGCTGACGGTCGGGAAAGCGGCTAGTGTGCACCCGGCGATTTCGTGGGCAGCGCGCGCTGCATTGGTAAACGGCGCTGTAGCGTGGACGGAGCGTGCTGCGGTAGCCTGTGTGGTGTCGGCATTTTCAGCGTGGGTGTCCGTCGTCACGCTGGCTGTGGCCGCGTACCTTGCAGCTGCGCGAGCCGCGATCGCGTGTACCGACAGAGCACGGGTCGTTTCCGCGTGGATGGCGGCGGCGTGTATGCTGGCAGCGCATGCGACGGCGGTCCATCTAGCAGCTAGCTGGGTCGCCCTTGCTTGCTGCTGGCTGCGCGTCTGTCCAGTAGTGTGCGTGAGTGCCGCGTACATCGCGGCGGCATCGGCGGCTTCGGCGCGTGCGCGGGCAGCATCCCGTGGGCCTATGGTCGGCCCCACGCCCTGCATCTGGGTCCGCGGTCGCTTCGCGTTTTCCTCTGCTACGCGTTCGCGTAAGCGCTTCACACTCTCCTCCATTTTGCTTTCCATGTTCATCGTTGATTGATTTTCACCTTTATTAAAATTCTTTCGTTTCTCCACGTGTGGCTGGCTCGCTAGTTGACGATCGAATGACGGTCTCCACTGATGCGATGGTCTTGCTAACTTCTTCTTCCGGGCTAGTACGATCGGTGCACTGTGCGGACTGCGAGACGGCTCTATACATCCTTTCGTGAGTAGCTCATCGATTTCCGCGTCGATGACAGATTGCATTGCAGGGTGCAGTCATGATGATCCGGTGCTCTCCCACTGTGGCTACTCCGCTCATAGTCTCGAATTTTTGCAGTTTTTCGGCTAGAAAGTCGCGTATGCGGGCTGCCTCATCTTCGTGGTTGGGGTCCTCGTGTTCTATTCTGCTGACCCTCTCCCTTGCGGACCGTCGTCTTGTACGGCGCCTCCCTTTTCTGCTCCTTGGTGGGCGATGGTTCGTTATGGTTGGTGGTTCGAAGTCCTCGGTGCTTGGTGTTGATTCGCTTGGTTTCGTCGACGTGGGTTGTATAGGTGGCTCCGTCAATACGACGCGGTGCCCTCCGCAGGACACCGTAGCTGCCATTCCCCCTAGTGTGACCAGGCCCAAAATGATGTCGTAAATTGCTCCAGGCATGACATACAGAACGGAGTTGTGGATCGTTTGCCCAAGGCGGACTACGGTCTTCACGGCCTCGGATATTTTGTTCCTGGTGCCATCGGCCATAAGGATTCCTATGGCCACAGTTATCTTTTTTCCTCTCTCAAGCTAACCATTGCTCCGCCATGCTGGCGGACACGAAACTTCTCGCTCCGCCCAACGAGATTAGGGCTTAGAGGCGGCCGCGTTCCTGGCTCAAAATTATGGGTTGTCCGGCGCTGTACTTGGGGGCTTCTCGATGATGCTTATCAATGCATGGTGGCGGTCGTTGCTGAAATGCCTGTCTCGGTTGGGGTGGTGACATAATGGGGTCGTCACCAACGTGTCTCGCTATTTCTCGTCGGGCGGTTACTGGGGCCCGCCGATGGCTTTCGTAGATGCTTTCATAGTCTTCTGCGAGTATGAGGAGTTCCGTCAAAGTATTAAAATCTCGCCGCTTGATGTAAAGCAAGTACTCCGGGTGGCTATTTCGAAAAATTCTTTCCAGCCGTTGTTCACTACTGTAACCCGCGTGTCGCATCAGGTTTTGAATCACGAACACGTAGTCCTTAAATTTTTCTCGCGGGCGCTGCCACCGTTGCCTTATGTCATCTTCCAGGCGTTCAAAATACCCGGCCGGTAGGAAAAAGTGCAGGAAATCACATTTGAATGACGCCCAGTACGTCCAATTCTCGTTGTTGTTGTGGTACCACTGGAGGGCGGTGCCGCTTAGCAATTCAGGCATCGTCTTTGGTAATAAGTCTACATTTAATGTGTAGACGTCGGCCAGCTCCTCTAATCGTTCTGTAAACGCCATCGCGTCGCGTCCTCCATCGTACTTCACTGACCACTTGCGTATCTGGTCGATGATGGGCGCAAAAGTAACGGTAGGCACATGGTTGCCGCTGGTTAGCACATCCGCGTTTGGTGCGATGGATGTCGTTGGCGGGTGTTGCGGTGGCGGCTGCATACTCGGTGGCGGATATGTGAACTGACTCTGCGTTGGCGGCCTAACGGACACATTAGCGGGTTCTTTCGCCTTGATTCACGGTTAACGGTGTCTTGGGCTCACTTTCGTCTCTCTAGTGGGCCTCCTGTTCGTTGTATGCTGCTTCCATCGCGAGAAATTTTGCATGCAGTTCCGGGTCGACGAGTGCATTGGCGGCGCCTGCCGCTATCCGTTTCCTCATCTCCCGAGCGGTGCCTGTGTGTTCGATGCCCAGTTCCTGTGCGATGGACACCAACTGTTCCTTGGATACGCTGTCCAGCCACACTATGCTCACTGGTTCTGTCATGGTTGGTTTAATTAGCGGCTTCGAAATGTCCTCTTTGTATTGTACTATTTGCAGGGTCCCTGCTCGGGCGCCAATTGCAACGAAGCGTTTTCCTGTGAAGGCCCCGACGCTTCTGTTTTCTATGTTGCGGAATACTCGCCATGCCCAGGGTCCGTTATAATAAATTTATATTGTGGGGCTTGTGCAAATAGTACTTTATTTAATTTCTAAAACGTGTTACTACTTAATTTCTATGAACATAATACGATTAACGGTGTAAGAATTCCTAACGGTGAATTCCCAGCGCTGCTGCTGGGTGACGTCGACGCTACTCTATCGGCATTCTGCTG